GCACACCTAACGGGCACCTTGTCGCCCTACCAGGGCTTAGAATCACAGAACTATATAATCCTTTTTGCTGGAAGGGACCATTATAGGCCACCTAGTCCAAGTCCCCTGCAATTAACGGGGACGGTTACAGCTGATCAGGTACTGAGAGCCTGGTCCAGGGCTTCTGCAAGGCCCCTCTAAAACACATACCAAGATCACCCCTTCCCATTGCAAAGCTGTACATCTTGCTCTTGGGACCACTGGAGCTGTCTTGGTGCCGCAGCAGCGTGTGCATGGCAGCAGGCACGTAAGCTTGATGGCTCAACAGAGGAGACAGTGCTCTGCGAGGGGTGGAACAGGCAAAGAACTGATCAGTCCCCTTCCAGGTTTGCAACGGTGTAATAAAAGTCCCTGTGTCCTGCATGCCAGGGAGGTCCAGGGGAGGGGGGGAGAGGGCGAAAGTGAATTAAATGGCCCTTTCAGGAGCAGAGAGAGCACTTCGTCCTCTCTCATCCATTTAGTGCAGATGCTGTTGAAGTCTTCCCCATCTTAACAGCCAGCAGAGCTTGGCTCGCATTGTCCTTTGCAGACACCGTGCAGCCCCAGAGGAAAGCTGGCAGAGAGGAATGGGGCAGGAGGGGAAGGGACGTGTGTGGGTTCATAGCAGTTCACGGCAGACATGCTGGATGGATCTGGGAGCACAGCTCGTCCTGCACACAGGGACAGTGAGCACCTCACCCTGGGATGGCACACGGTGTTCAGAGCAGCACTGTGTGCTTCTGTATATATTCCAGAACATCTGTGAATAGGGTCAGCTCCCCTGAGCATCCTGCTGTGCCCCAGGTGCACATCTGAGTGCTTACAGCTTACAGCTCTCCATGCCAACACCCATACCATCATCAACACCATAGCACAGCTCACAGCCATGGCTATGCCCAAATATCTCAAGAACATCAGCATCCCTTAGCAAACACATTCCCAACTCAAGCTTCCACCTGTCTCCAAAAAGGAAAAGTCCTTTTTGTTTAAGGATTTGGGTAATAGGGGAGGGAAGAGAGGTAGTTTTTATTAGGCTGCAGGTCTATGAGCAGTACCTGTAAAGTCAGGGAGAATCACACTGAAATGCTGCAGAGGTGAGGAGTGATGGAAACACCTTTAAAAAAAAAAAAAAGTCCTCTGATTATGAAGACTTAAAAGAAAACTATTCCTTAAACAGTTGGCAGCAGCAGCCCAGGGTCAGCAATACCTCTACCTGGGGCCACGTGAACTAAGAACGTTAATTGAGCCTCCTGGGTATGTAAGCCTCTTATCTACTTACACACAGCGCTTTCTCTGAGCTGGAAAAAAAATGAGATTATTAGTTATTTTTAATGAACAGCAGCAGGACGTGCGTGCTCACCTGCTCTTCACTGCGCGATGCTTCCTCTGTCTCTCTCTTTAAAGCAGTGGGGATAGGAGCCACAATCTGAAAGGGATGTGGGTGTCAGGAGGGGGACAGCTGCTATTCATCCTGTAGGATGCTCTCAAAGCTGCGGTTCAGCGCCTTAATCCCACAGCTGCTTTCAGTGCCTCAGATCTGCCACCTCAAAGCTGTCATGCTCTCCCTGCATCAGATGGGAAGTGCATGGGCCTCAGCTCCTGGAAGGGACATGTAAAAGCCATCTGGTCCAACTCCCCTGCACTGAATAGGGATACCTACAGCTGATCAGGTGCTCAATGCTTGCTTCTTGCTGGGAAAGGCTTCTGCCTCGCATTGAAACACTGGGGGTGTTGGTGAGAGGCAAAGAAAAGCAGCAGTGAGGAGGCTTCCTTCCAAACTTACATATGATTATAAAATCCCCACTGACCCCTTCATGTGATCACATTCCTTTGACGATGAATTCCCGATTTCATGCCTCCTTAAACATCTCGTGCACTTGGGAAATCTGTCTAAGCACATCAATTCCAGGTGGGTTTCAATATTTTGTAGCCCATCAGTGGGAACTCACCTGCACAAGCAGGCAGGTAGAGAGTCTTGTTTTTCTGCTGAGTTTTCTCTCCTGAGTTACAGCCCAACATGGAGAGCACATTCAAGCCAAAGGCAGCTCATGCTGCAAACACAACTCTTTATCATCCTTTAGCAGAGGATGCTTTGAGGTGACACAAAGATAGATGACAGGATGGTTGGTTCTTCCTGACACTCTACTTAAGGGATAACCATGGGCATTTATTTGCTGGGCTGAAGTCAGGGAGTGTTGGTGCTCCTGAGGGCGAGAGGCAATGGGAAAAGACATGCCCTGTACCAGATGTATGACAGACTCGTGTCCTTCCGAGGCCGGGTATCACTTAACCACAAACAGCATCCCCAGTGGAGGGACCTGGGGTTTTTAAGGTTGGGAGATTTTGAGCTTGTGACCTTCCCCAAAGCCATCCCCACGGCTCCGGAACATCGTCAGCCCGAGGGCACCACCTAGTGAACGCCGGCACTGCGCACATCCGTGACGGGCAGGAGTGGAGAAAAGCCGGAGGTGTCCTCGGGGAGCTCAGCCCAGAGCGCAGGAGCACATTTTTGCTTTCCTCGCTCTCCACTCCGGTTATTTTCCAGCTTATTCCGTGGCGATGAGGGCATGGTGGGGATGGGTGGATGGTTGGGCTGGGTGATCTCAGCAATTTTTTCAAACCTTAATGATTCTATGATTCTGTGATGCCCGGCCCCATTATGCACCGTATAGGAACCTTTGCTGTGCTCCATCCATCACACAGCACGCTACTGTTAACCCGTGCTCAGAACAGGGTCTTGCTGCCTTCCAAACACTAACACTTGCTGCTCTGCCCTGTGCTGGATGGCCTTGGGAAGACGGCAACATATTGCTGTTATCTAGTTTGGAGAAAGAAACAAACATATGGTGGCTCATGCATGAGTTGTTTTGCGAGGAGATCCCAGAGACAAGTGCTCCTGATGTTCTCACTTGCCATGAAGATGGCCCTGACCTCCAGGCAGCTCCAACCCCCACTTTTTACTCAGAATATTGAAAAAAAACACCCTCAGCACTCTAACATCCGCACACAAGGTGAGTGGGGATGGGGAACAGCAGGCTGAAACACCACAAGGATGGTGCAGAGCTTAAAGCTCTCATCATCTACTACCAGCAGAGAAATCACTGTGCCTCGTTCAGAGCTGCACCTATTGCCAATGGGGCCTCGCTGGGAGCCCACTGCAATGCTGGGAGCCCTGACAATGGGAGGGTTTCTTCCTAGCACTGTGCGTGCTGGATCCACAGCAAGCTCCCCCCATGCACCCCACAGCTCCGGTGTGTGGGATTGGGGTTGCAGGATCAGGGCGCTGGCTGCCTGCTGAGATGGGGCATGGGGAGCAGTGCCGTCTCCTTTCCTCTGCAACGAGTCGCAGAGCTGAAGTGGCTTGTTTTTCATCAGGGAACAGCTGTTGCTAGGCCACACTTGTCCCTGCATTGGCAGGGAAGGGATTTTGCAGCCAATCGGCACCCGCGCACCCCTCCCGCAGCTCAGTGCTAAGCGACCCGCAGATGTGTCTATTCATTGCTGGATCGCACCTATTTGCCTCTTCCGGCCAGGTAGGTTAATAGGGCTCTGGAGATGTTAATTTAGAGCAGGCAGCAAGCTTTCTGCCCTATAATTCCCACGGCGGGTGGAGAATAGGGTGATGCTGGCGCTCAGGGTGCAGGCAGGATGGTTCTCCCCTTTTTGCAAACCAGTTTAGTTTCCAATGAATGGCCACAAATGGGGCAGATCGTCTCTGTATCCCCACAGCAAAGCAGCCCCAGGACGAACTGCCCTTGGACAGGGGGTGTTCTTTGGTATCTGCATCGCTCCGTGCATGATCACACTTGGGGACCATGGCCACATTGGGGATTATGACTTGCTGTATGGAGTGAGTGATGAATCCCTGTAGATCTCCTGCTCAAAGTGCTGTCGTGTACCAAACATCCACCCTATGGGCATCCCACAGCCGTGCAGGTGGAGCAGAGCCTAAGTGCAGCCTCAAGCATCTCCAGCCACACAGCCAACACAATGCAGAAGTGCCCCAGCTTCGAGGGCTGCAAAGCCTCCAACCAAAACCACCAAAACAGTGCAGGAAATGGGACAACCCACCCTAGACTCAATTTCAGAGAGTCCCTTATGATGAGCACCATTCAGCCGGATGGTGGGGAAGGGAGGGCTCGATAACAGCAGCTCCAATTGTTGTCTGCTGCTCGGGGAGAAGCTGTTGCTAGACAGAAGAAAAAGCCGTCGCCATCAGCTCCCATTGGCTCAGCCCCACTCCAATGACAAGCTTATCAGTTACCTGCTCCTGCAGCTGCCTGAAAGAACTCATTTGACAATGTTTTTCCTCTGATAAAAAAGCCCCGAGTTCCCATTGCTGGATTCGTGGGCTCGTGTTAATCATTATTCAGGGTCGTCGAGACAACAGACGGCTTTTCTGCCCTGTCTTGAATAGTCACGAAATGTAACATCACCCAGGAGCTGCCTGGAGTTGGCTCCTGCTTTGCTCTGCTCTGCTTTGCTCTGCCTGCCCAAAGATGCTCAGCACCACCGGCTGTGGTACAGCACAGCACACACCAGCAGCTCCCTGACATTTAGGTGAATATTCACAAACATCTGTGAAAATCCTGATTAAGTCCTGATCAGTTCACTGGGTGGAAAAAAAGGAGGAATATTGCCATTCGTGTTACACTCAGCAAACCTGATGTCAGCAACTCCATCGTATCATCTACCCCAGGGTTTGCTTTCTCATCTGGATCTCCCTCCTGGAGCTTTCCCAAAGGACCTGCAGGGATTCTCCTCCACCACATCACTGCAGTTGTGCCTTGGGGACTCGTGGGCTTCCCAGCACAACATGACGTTTTCAGGCCTTCTAAGCCAATGGAAATCCATCCCGACCCCCAGTTTGTGTCCCACCTTCTCCAAGAGCTGGGAATTGCAGCGCAGAAGCAATGCTTGCACAGGGACTGCACTACTGCATTCAAATATTGGTTGAGAATTTAGAAATGTTCTGACTGTGCTTTTTTTTTTTTTTTTTTAATTGCTCCTGTCTCTCCCTGTGCCCGACTGCCGTGCAGGATGAGTCACAGCTGATAAAACACCCAGCTCTCCACCCTGGTGCCACCAGACAGGACCTAGAGACAGCTGGGCGTGCTGGACTCCCCAGCCCAGGCTGAGTCAATCTGCTGCCCTCCCTGTCACCCATTGCAGATGTTCCAGCAGGAGTCTTGAAGCACAGGGGACCATCCCACAGCCACCCAATGCCAGGACTTGTTTATCCCAGCCACCATCAGACCACCAAAGAGACATTTTTTGATGTCAGGCAAGTTGGAAGTGCTGGAACACAGCACTCAATCACAGCAACACACGCAGGAGGCTTTTGCAATAATCATTTTTAATCCAGAATTGGACAAATACAACAAAGTGCATTCTAAGCTGTTGTTCACATGATGTAGAAACTGATTAGACAGACCTGAACTTCCTTTCCAGGCTTCACTGTGCAAAGAATACAGGGAGAAAAATGGTGATGTAACACCAGCCCCGGACGCTCTGCAGCAACCAGGCAGAAGCACAACAGCTCTGAACTGCTGTCATAGGGCCACGATGCACAGCATGGACCACAGAACCTTCAGAGAAACCACTCGCCTCAGCTCTCCCACCATTAGCAGCAAGATGACAGCAGGGAGGGCATCCTCTTGGAGGGCATCGGAGGTGCCCTAAGAGCCCCACTCCACCACTGCGCTCCTCCAGGGTGGCACCAGGACCCCACGTGTCCCTCCACACCTGAGATGTGAAGGCACAGGGATATCCCCAACACCACGGACAGAGAGTGCTGTCCCTGGTCACAGGGTGCCCGCCATCAGGTCCTGGGGCCAGTACTGGTCATCCATGTATTGGTGGCTGTCAGTGATGGGGTCTGTGGGGCTGGGGGGACGGGGGGGCTGGCTGCGAGCCAGCTCTGCCTCCCATGGCACCTCCACCAGTCTGTACAGCTCCATGGCTGTCCGTGCATCCTCCACTGATGAATGCCCTTTGCAGCCCACCTGAATGAAGGGGAGAAGCATGGTTAGGGAAAAGATTTAGCAGAAATCACCCACGGCACTTAGAATCATAGAATAAAACATTATCATAGAATATCCCATGTTAGAAGGGATCATAAGGATCATCAAGTCTAACTCTCGACTTGTCTTAAGAACAAGAATTGAGGGTTTGGATGCAACACCAGACAGATCTAGGAGGTGAGAGTATATCTTCACCAAGGGATGCATGCAAATGTCTCTGCCTCCCCACACTGACCCAGGACCAGGCTGGTCCCATAAGCTTGTACAAACGGTGGGGCTCACCTGGATCTTCTTCTGCAGCAGGTGTCTGGCCAGGCTCTTAAGAGAGGCATTGGTGCCGGGTGGCAGCCCGGCCCTCTGGTTGAGCAGTGGGATACGGCTGGTGTCCCGCGTCCTCTCCTTTGGGTGGAAGTACTTCAAGGCCTGGAAGTCATTGTGGATGGCATGCCCAACCACGATCTTATCCTTCAGGATCTTCAGGATCTGGAAGTGTCAGAGGGGGGGTTAGATGAAGCACTTTAAGTATAGAATAAACCACTTCACATTCAATATGGTTTCTTCCAGTCTACTTTTTTCAGTTTCCAAGGAGTGAGAAGCAACAAGTGAGCCCCATTACTGAGCTCATGTTCTTCTCAGAAAGAGCAGTGATGCAGTGGCACAGCTGCTCAGGGAGGTGGTAGAGTCACCATCCCTGGAGGTGTTCAAGACACATGGAGCTGTGGCACTGAGGGATGTGGTCAGTGGCCATGGGGTGGGGTGCGCTGTGGTTGGACTGGATGATCCTACTGATCACTTCCAGCCTTAACAATTCCATGAAATCACACACCAGCCTCACTGTGCAAGGCTGCCACAAACCCAAATATCAGCCCTTAACTCTTGCAGTGCCAGAATCTCACCTCCTCCTGGGCAGCCCGAAATTGGATGGCGCTCTCCATGTGCCGCCTGGTGATGCCGCTCCAGCGGGTTCGAAAGTCCACGATGGGCAGCAGGGGCAGGACATACTTGTCATAGATGACGTCTCCATCATAGCTAACGATGGAGCACCGTGCCAGCTCGCTCTGCCTGCCCCGGGGGCCCGTGCCCACCATCTCACAATCAATGGCCACGTACTTGTTGGGACGTGGGAGGCACGGCTGGATCCCTGTGATGGTGTTACCCACAGACGTCCTGGAGCAGCGACCCACAGTGCTGTCCGGGGAGGTGGATGGTGACACGGACAGCCCCAGCTTGGAGACCTTCCAGCCACGTGGTGTTACATTGCTGTGCCCACCCAGGGGTCCCTGAGTGCCCAACCGACGGCGGGGTCTCAGCAGCCCCCTCTGCTCCAGCAGAGCCCGCCGCTCCATGAAGCGCTGGTGCCTGCGGCTCCTCTTCTTGCTGCCGGGACCCTGCGGCATCATCCTAGGGCTGGGGGGCCCGGCGGGACCATGGGTGCGTTTTGGGGTAGGCACAGAGGCTTTGGGGAGCAGCAGCGGGGTCATTTGGCCTTTTCCTGGAGACAGGCCTGTGGGGAGCACAGGGCTGTGAGTGCCCCGAAGCCCCGGAACAGGGCCTCCTCCCTAAATACGCTCTCTGACTACCTATCCCGTTTCCAGCCCCACTGTCCCACCCACCTCCCTATCGCTGCGCACCCCCCAAGCTCCTGTCTGCCTATTACCGGGCCTCCATTCTCCCCATTCCCCAGCAGCAAACCCCTACCCGCCCCTTTACCCAATCCCAGACCATTGTCTGCCCCATTTCCCACCCCAGGGCCCATATCCCCACCCTGCCCCTCACCCCTACCCGGCGCACACCCCTTACCCACTGCAGGCCGGCACAGCTCCCACGTGTCCGGCCCGGAAGCCGCCGCATTCACATGCCCGGGCAAGTTCTGACGTGACCACGCCTCCTCTGCAATCCCATTGGCTGTGTATGAGAGGTGATTTGCATACGAGGGGCGGGATTGGTGCGTCACCGCGGAGGGGCGGGGCTTCCTACTCCCCGGTAATATGGCGCTGCGGTGCAGCGTGCGTGCGCTTTGGGTGTAGGATGGTTTGGGCTATGGGGTGCTTCAGCTACAAGGTGTTTTGGCTGCAGTGTATGCCAGCTCCGGCTTAAATAGACTTTCTTGATTCTTAGGCTAACGTGGGCACTGGAACAGGCCTCTGCATAGGAGTTGTGGGCGCCTCATCCCTGGAGGTGCACAGGGCTGTGCTGGGCGGGCCCTGGCAGCCGGGTCTGATGGGTGCCAAGCAGTGCGTGGCAGGGGTTTGGAACTTGGCTTTAGGGTCCCTTCCCACTCAACTGTTCTGTGCTTCTGTTTGGCTGTAGGGTACCCTATGTGTACCCTGTAGTGTAGGGAGCTGGGGATGATAGCAGAGCTGAGGGGTGGTGATGGGGTGTACATCCTTGGGGGCACTTCCCAGCAGCGGGGCAGCTCCAACTGCAGCAGCAGAGGTGTTTCAGACCAACCTCTCATTGCTTTGCTCTGTGTTTTCACCAAAGCAACGTTCGAGGTGATCAGAAGTGGAGGAGGATCCAGGAGCAGCCCAGCCACTGTCCTCACCTTGGGGCTGGGAGAACTCCTGCAGCGCCGGAGAGGCCGTGCGCCCTAAGGCAGACTGTGACTTGTTGTGGTGGGATGAGCCATACAACAACAAAATCACTAGTCTTCCAGAGGGCACCGCGGCCATCCTCGTCCCATAACCACCATTGTAGGGATGCAGGATGAGTGTCCTCACCCTCTGCCTCCTTTCTGCTCTGTTCTGCCTGGTCAGAAAGGTAAGATTGAAATCACCGTGTAATTTTTCCTTGTGCTTTTATGGCTTTCATTCCAGCTAGCAAACCTCTTCCTCAAACCCTCCCTTTCTTTTGTTCCACCTGCTTAGCTAATTAATTCCCTCTAATGAGAGCAGCTGGAGTGTCCCAGCACAACTTGTTAAGGAGGTTAGGCAGGTGTTTCTGCAGAGATTTCTGCTCAGCTCAGTCATTTTTGGTGGAAGTGCAGTACAGTTCTTGGGGTTGGCTCCTTGGAGCTTTTGGGGTCTCTCAGTTTGGCATTCACCCCATGGCACCCTGCAGCCCCAGGGGCTCTGCAGGGTTTGTATCTAACATGTTGAGGCTGGAGCACCGGGATCCCCCTGTGCCTGTCAGTGGTGTGGCTGATGGCATCTCCTTGGGACATCGCTGTTGTACACAGGGGCCACTCAGACTTGTTTTCCTCAGTAATCACCATCCATTGCTACAGCCTTTGCTCAGCCAGCTCCTTCTCAGGCTTCGTGCTTTGCAGGATGTATATGCTTTGCCCTAAAATCCTTGTGCTCATGCTGAAACTTTGGTAAGAGCATTAAGGGCATTGGGAGAGGAAAAGAAAAGCATTTTCCTTCTGGTTTTATAGGTCAGGTTGCAGGTAAATAGCAGCACCCTTTGTCTCCATCGAAGTCAGAAAAGTCAAAATTGCTTCAAATTGATCCACATGAGTGCCCCTCCAATTCCACTGACCCTGGGTTAACAAAGCACTGTGCTCACCCCACAACACAGGGAGGAAGACTTGTAAAGGAGCAAAAATGACTGTCCAAGGGAGAACACAGGAAGCCAGGTGAGAGGGAGATGCTGAGGGGAGCTCCCTTGGAGAATTGTGGTGTGGGGCACAGTGCTGCTGGCACTGCTCTGGGTGTCGCAGTGCTGCAGAGCACGCCGGAACCCAGGGATATTTCTGCAGCATTTGTGCTATTGGAAATAATAACAAAATCAGTAAAACTCGGGTCGGATCACGGAGTGAATAACAGGGTGAATGTGCAGGATGAATAATTTACGAGGCTGGCCCTGCTCCAAGCCTGGGCTCGAACTGAGAACCGGGTGGCTGTGTACCCCTCCTGCCCCTGCAAGGAGAGCCTTTGGGCCCTTCTTTGGGCAAGGTGTCTGCCCCTGGCTGTCCCTGCCCATACCTGCAGGGTTTTCTGCCGAGATCCCTTTGGGAGGATTTCAGTGATTTGTATCTAACATGGGGCTTTGCAGAGGGTGCCCATGGGTGGCTGCGGGCTGACAGATGCATTCGTCCGCTGACCTCCCCCGTCCCCAGCCGTGTCCCTGCTCGCATGTGGTGGCTGCAGCCATAGGGATGGGATGTTTGGGATGGGAGCTGAGCGCACACCAAGTCCCTGCACTGGGAGGCGGCAGCGGCGGCCAATTAATGTGATCATGTTTATGAATGCGAATCAGCAATTCCAGGTGAAGTCCCTGAGCGTCGTGCTGAGATGAACAAAGCTGCTCGCCCAGCCAGGACCCCTGCCAGCACCAGTACATCCCTGCTGTGACTCCAAAATGTCTCATTTCCCAATTCCAGCCTCAATGCATCTCCATTTCTCCTATTAACCACCTGCGTGCTGCTGGCTGTCCCCATTCCCTGCCCTCTCGCTGGGGTTGGGGACATCCTATGGCCATGGGGACAGAGAGTGGGGAGCTCGGGGTGATGCTGCTGTGGGTCCATGGGGCAGCAGGAAAGCAAACCCAGCCCACCCTGCTTTGCTGGCTCACCCCCAGGAGAGCGGTAAGCAATTAGGGGCTGCACGGAGGCTTCATTATAGCTCTGTCATGGCCTCGTTTGATGAGACATTTTATTGCCAAACTTATTAAAAGTGAAACGTGCAGTTTCTGCGCAGCAATTTCCTGTCTGTGGCGATAAGCCAGGCTGTGCCTGCTGTGTAATAAACTGTTATTTTTATGTATGGCCCCGGCTGGGGTGGCGGGGAGGAGAGAGGGCCTGTCTAGTGTTAATTGCGATGGTTAATGAGATCTATTTTGGGACTTAGGCACAAGGTGGTGCTGCCCTCCCCTGCCATCGCTCTGTGGCTGCGGCGCCTCCAGTGACTTTGTGCTCTGGGTGTGGGGACAGGGTCAGCTTTCCCCTTTTTCACCCTTCTCTTCCTCCTTCCTCCCCCAAAGTACTGGTCCTGACCGTCTCGACGCACCCATCCCCAAACCCTTGACTGGAAATTAAAGAATCACAGAATGGCTTAGGGCTGCCCAGAGCCCCATCCAAGCTGGCCTTGAGCACCTCCAGGGATGGGGCACCCGCAGTTCTGGGCAAGTCACCCATCTGCTGTGAACGCCCTGTTGTGCACTTGCATTGAGTTGTCCTATGTAGAGTCAGGATTTGGACTCACTGATTTTTAATCCCTTCTGCCCTGGGATGCTTTATGATTTTATCCTATGCTTTGTGCATGGATGAGCAAGGAGGTGCTCATGACTCACAATCTCAGTGTTCCCCTGTGCTACACCACTGGTCCTACCAGAGCACCGCAGCATCCCCATTTCATCCCCCTCCTGTGGGACTGCCTTTCCTAAAATGCAGCACCTGATAAACGTCATCTTGCTCTGTCAGAAACAAAATGTCCTCTCCAGGTGTGCATCTCTGTTTAATTGCATCTTTTTAATACGTTCTGAATGGAAACTTTTCTTTAAAACGGAACATATCAAATTGAGTTTACAAAAATGCTGCTGATTATTATTTTTTCATAGCTGGCCAAAGATGCCCATTGAATTCAACCTGGGCCCACTCCACTTTTCCTGATAAACAATTTGTCAGAAAAATTCCTCTTGGCTCAGGGAGTCATGCGAGTTATTTGTCAGCAGCCAAAGCCCTGTTGGGTGTTTCCCATATGACTTCTCTTTTTAATAGCAGCTTTATTGGTCTGGGAATTAACGATGGAAAATGCAATGCTTGCTATTCATTGCAGCCATCCAAAATGCCACTCATCTCATCAGGCTGCAGAAGCAAACCAAAATGCTCTCAGGGCTCTCACATCCCTGTGTGCTGCTGCCATGCAGCAGTGTCACCCCAATATGCTCCCCCAGGTCGGGAGACCACACCAAGTTCCCTGTCCCCAATCCCTTCCCAGCCCCTCGCTGGGTGAACTCCCTCCATCATCAGCCTCGGCCCTCGTTAATTTGTATTGCAGCGTGTATCGTGGGCTGACGTGTAATTAGAGCTCCTGAAGCCTGTCTCATGCTGTAATTGCCATGACAGGGGCCACAGCATATCCGCTTGTTAATTAGTAAACCACAATATCCCGGGGGCTCGTTGAGAGCTGCCTTAATTGTATTTCAGCTGGAACAGAGGGATAATTACCCTTCGCTAGCGCTGCCACTTTTTAATACTTTAGAAATAAATAAATAAATAAATAGAAAGAAAAACCCAAACTGAGCTCCTCTTCCTCCTGGCAGCCTCTTCTTCACCCTATGGAACTCCCTGACCTGGTTTTGCTGCATCCTCCAAAGCAATGGTGCCTGAGTTTCCTTTACCAGAGTTTGGCCGTATGTGGGCTGGGTGTCACCAACCAGCGTTGTTTTCAATGCAAAAACTTCAGGAGGATCCAGGCAATGGGGTTCCTCAAATAAAGAAAAGCATCCCCTCTGTTTGCACATGCAATGGGCTGCTCAGGGTGCTGCTGCAGCTCTGGCTGTTGGGACTCTGGTGCACCCATGTGCTTGCTTGGAATGCTGTTTCCTGGGAATTTCATCCTGACTCGTGTTTCATATCCTCAATGTGCTCGGAGTGCCGTCCTTGTGGAGGACTTTGGTGTGCTTGACAGCAGAGCCCCAGCATCGGGAGATCCTGGAGGTGAATCACCTTCTTCTAAACCCCCTTCTTGGCAAATCTCATCCCTTTATTCAGCTGATAGCTTTTTGGGACCTGGCTGAAAGCTTCTCCATCCTTCGATGTGCAGGGTGTCCTGTGGGGTACGGAGGTGCTGAAGCTCAGCACTACAGTCAGCTCTTGCTGCTCCAGGGTCTTTGGGGAAGGTGAATCCGGGGAGCGATGCTAGCACGCAGCATCCGTCCTTTTCCTTCTGCTTCTCCCCCAGCCAACACAAAGAGCCCGGCATCAGCAGCCCTGCAAATTCCTGCTGTTCAAAAAGTTATATAATGGGCAGCCGACCTCTGCGAGACGGTTTGTGAATTGGTTGAAATAACAGGCCTGGCTCTCTCCTGGGAAGCTACATGGAGGTCAGCCTTGAAGAAAAGAGCGGTACAGCAGCTCCAAGCATTGGCAAGAAGAAATAACTGAAGCAGAGAGACTTGAACGTAATTACAGCCTAAGAGCTGTGATGGGAACTCAGCGACCTGAGCCCATCTCCTGGACTTCAGTGCAATCAACAGATTGACACCAGCAGCTCATGAAGGCTGGTTTCTGGAAGTCGTGCAATGGTACTGAATGCCAGAGCAGGTGGAGAAGCAGCACAGGTGGCTGTTCCAAAGGCTGGAGCTAGGCAAGGGTCTCAAATGCCATGGAAGAAGCAGATGGAGGCAACCACTGGAACGCTCTGTGCTTAATTGAGGGCACCTTCAAGGGTGAGCACGAGGTGGCTGCCCACCACCGGGATGCTCTGCTGCTGCCATGTGAGTCTCTGTCATTAGAACCAGGAATGCAGTTTATAGCTGAGTAACCACAACAACTTTGCACAAATTAAACAACATACTGCAGGTTAATTAGATTTCTTACTGCTGCCTCAATTAACTTAGCCCTGTCATCTGCTGTCAGAAGTGGATGGAGACCCTTTGAAATTCATGGGCTGTATCGTTGAGAGATGGGAATGGGAAAACCTCTCCCTGGGCAACCACACCTGTGAGTGATGCGTGTTTGCATGGATGGGCAATGCCATCTTCTGTGCTTGGAACCCCTTTGTGTGGCAGGGGAGAGCAGCAGGAGATGCTTTTGTCTTCCAGCAGAATAGTGACCAAGGAGGATTTCCCCTCTGGTGTTTCAAACTCACCTTGTCATAAGACAATCTTAAAAAAAAAGCAAATAAACATATCTGGAGAAGTCTTCTTTTTTTTTTTCTTTTCTTTTTTAGTCATTCCACACAACGCTGTGTGAATGCAAATAAATAAAAGGGCCCACTATGAAAACATCTGAGAATGCTGGTTTGTATTTTTAAACCAATTTCCTTCGACTGTGTCAGGGCCTGTTTTGTGTTTGCTCGACAATTATGTGGCTAATGAGGACAGCCACAGCTACATTAGGCAGGATTAGGAAGAATAAGGCTACAAATGCTTCAGTGTTTAAGACAACCACTGACTAATGGGGGGTAGGAGGGCATGCCCCTGGAGCAGACAACTCCTCACAGGGTTTCTTATGCTGCTTGGTTGGGCAGGAGAGAAGGGGAAGAGCAGGAGTGACAAGGGGGGCTTCTAGTCCCATCTGCTGAGGGGTGACCATGCCTGTGGGACAGGAGGAAGCTTAAGGTGCAAAGCAAAACATCTCATCCTCAATGCCCTGCTCACAAAGAGAGCTTTGTTGAATGGCTGGGACAGAGATGTAAACCTGGAAGAGACTGTACTGAATGCTCATGAACTAACCCCAAAAATGAGCAGGTGTGGTTGTGCAGAGAGCCCTGCTTCTCCAACAGCATCATGGCTTGGCTGTGTTCATCACAAGAGAAGGTAACTGGAGACACCTCTCCCTGACAGTGGTACTGGAGAGCACGGCTCTGCAGAATGGTTGAGGTGGCATGGTCCCTGCTCTTCCTCCCTCTGTTTCCGTTGCTATGCCTATTGCCAATTCTCCAGCTGCTTCTTTGGCCCCAATGCTTGGTCTCGTTGCCATGATCCCATGGCCTGTAGGGTTGCACTAATCCTCCAGATGAGGAGAGGCGCCTGCAGCTCACGGAGACCCCACAGAGACCCCAATCCCTGGACATAGGGCTGTTTTCACCAGCTGCAGACCATGGTACCTTGGGGGCCATGCCTGCCCCTACCCTGTCCCCAGTGTGTCCACAGTGCCTGTGCCTGTGAACTGAGTTCCTGAAGAAGATGGCACGGGTGCTGAAGAGCCTCCCCTGAGTGCAGCAACTGAGTTGCACTCCGGCAGACTAATTTACGCCCTAATTGGTGTGGAAACGAGTGCCAGAAAGCACTGGAATATCGAGAAGTGAAGCTCTCCATCTTGGCTTCCTTCAGGGAAATGGTCTAATTAAGAGCCTGTCTTGCAAAGAGAGATAATTTCCAGCTCTGTGTTGCGGTAGGAGCCAGGATGAAGGTTGCAGCTGATACCATCTTCTCCTCACTGGATCCACTTGGCTGTTGCACAGTGAGGGCAAAGCTGGGTGTAGGTTTCTCATCTTGTGCCCAGCACCCTGTGCATCCCATGGGTTTGAGCTCCTTCCTCACCCAGTGCTCTACAGGACTATGACTTATAGCTGCATTAGAACCCGTTTGTTCTCCCATCACCAGGTCCCATCACAAGAGGCTGCACCAGCTGCACAAGCCCATTGTAGCACCGACTCTGGCGTTGACTTCATGCCTACAATCTCCACCAATATTTGCATAGCGGTTGTGCAAACTTCACGCCATTCATTGACAGCCCTCGGGCTGCAGCGGGGCTTTTCCCTGCTGTATTTGCTCTGGTTCCCTGCTGTATTTGCTTTGGGTAAGCAGTGGTTTCACTCTCCCCATGGCCCCTAGCCGCCTTCCAGCCTCAGCACCGCTGGTCCCATCACCGCTGCCTGCAAAGCACGGCTGGCACAGAGACACCCCAGCCCCTTCCCCGTGGCCCCGCTGTGCACAGCTGTTCCCTTAGAAATAGCTGTTGCCATGGTTTTTCCAAAGAAAACACATCTCCCCCCACATCCCCCTCCCCGTTCCCCACCGCCACCGCTCCCCACCGCCTTAACCTTGTGACAGCAGCTATGACGCGGCTCCCGCAGAAAGGCCACTTGGTGTAGCCATGGTAACAATTAGCTTTCTCTTGCTTTTCCCTCGGGTGATGGGTGCGAGGCAGACCCGTGGCTGCTCTCCTGCAGTGGGAGCTACCCCCAGCCCCACATTGGAGCATCCTAGCTGTGTCCCTCACTTGGACGCACGGACATCCATCTGTCTTGGGTGCCATGGCCATGTCCTACGCAAGTTCTAGACACCTCCATGGGGTTCCACCAACCGCTGCAGGAGCTGAATGCTAGGAGATTGGGAAAAGCACCTCCCGAGCATGGGAGAAGGAAGGAGGGAGGAGGATAGAAAGGGGGCTCAAAGGAGAGAAGCATTGCAAGGGAAGGCTGGGAGCTGGCCAGGATTTTGGCCATCCATTTGGCTCAGGGTAGGATGCGTGCTCCCATTCGGTGCCTCCCAGCAGCGGTTGGGTAAACACGGTACAAAGCTGCTCCCTGTGTATAGCAGAGTCACAGCTGCTGACTGCAGCAACTAAAATAAGCGTTTCCCTGCTTTTTATTCCTCTGAGCCCGGCAGAGCCCACTCAGCCCCAGGAGTGGAGCTGGAGTCTATTCTTAGCCCTGCAGAGCCTCGCAGAGCTGGGAGGGAGAGGGAGTCTCTGCATGGAGCGGGGACCACTGTTTTAACACCATCCTATCCCCAGAGCCTGGCCTGGCCCCAGGGAGGGACTGAGGTCCATAGGATGCTGATGTTTGGCCAAGGAGGATTTGGGAAGAGAGCAGAAGCGGGGATACCCCAGCACAACTCTCAGCATCGCTGCAGGATTCGGCATCCCCAAGGAGTGGCTGCAATGCAGGTGGCTTTCAGAGGGTGCTCGTGCAAAGCTGCTTTTCTTCCCACTGAAATGGGCACGGGGGGAATCAGAGGAGCTCAGCTCACAGCTGCCTTTGCCCCAGGAAGGGAGATTTAAGGGGAGTTTTGCACAGCCCTCACTGAGAGTCACCCCTCTGCCCAGACACAGCCAAGAGATGTTTTTGTTCATCCCGACCCTCCCTAGTGATTTCAACGTGTGCTGCAGCCCATGGCACCTGGAAGACCACTGCCAGCATCGTGTCATCCCCCAGCATCACACCTACATCACCCCGGGCATCGTGCTCTGAAAAGTGGGGTGATGAGGGATGACTCCGTGGACACAGTGCACACAGCTGGTGACACACGCTCCAACCATCATCCATGGGGACAACCCTGGGGACAGGAGCAGGGATGGGGAGAAGGCAGGGATGCAGGCAGTGCTGGAGGAGAAGCAGCCCCAGCTCCATAGCAACAGGTACTCGCCGTGTAATGGAGTCCTTTCCGCTCGGCCTCCGCAGCCGTCAGCCTTATTCGCATGGCCATAAATAATTCAATTTTCTCATTCACACACATGAATGCTGCGGGCCGGGGCTCCGGGTGCACTCAGCCTCCATCTGTCCAGGGGGGAAGGGGAAGGCAGGGCTCGATAATAGACTCCGGCGTTTGTTTAACATGGATGAGTGTGGGCAGATGGCCTGGGGATGGGGAGGAGGTGGGGGATGCTCCGTGGCATCCTCAAAGTCCTCAGGTTTAGCCCAGTTGCTTGTGCTAGGTGAGGAGGAGAGGAGAGCAGGGACAAGATCTGGTGCATCCAAGTCAGCATCTCTATTAGATACAAGCATGTTTTGGATGGGAGGGGGCTAGGTGCATTTGGATTGCCTTTGGAGCATCCCACTGGGGAAATGTCCTAAGGGTCTGAACTGAAGGATCTACATCAGGGTCAGCCCTATCCCTGGTGGTTTGGGTGCAGGAGCTGCTCCCAACATGAGATATTGTGTCTGGAGATGGCGTTGGCCATGCAATGGGAGATGTTCTGTGCCACAGCTGCTGTTCCACACCATGTCCTGCTCTTTGGGTGGGCAGCCCCAAACCCTGCCTTGGGCACAGAGTAACAGCCCTGGAGAAGGAGAGCAGCGCAGCAATGAGCGAGCTCTATACCACCCTCTCCCAGGGAGCGTGGGGAGGCCTGACAAGAGAAAACAATATAATTAATGGGGTTCATAGGCTACACACATGCCGTGGGGGGCTGAGATGTGAGGGACAGTCATCAGTGCCATTGCCATCTCTGCAGGTTTAGCATCACCTGGTCCAATGCGTGCCACAAAAACGTGGGTTAAGAGATGAGACCATGCAACGACATCACTATCGTCCACCCACACTCTGGGGTCCCTCTGCAGGAGTGGTGTCTGCAGGAGGAGGTGGTGGGATGGAACTGGCTGACGCGCGGATGTGCTGAGAGCTGCCACGTATTTGGGTACAGCACGTGTGTATGGATGTGTATTTGGGTGTGCTCACACACAGACACAAATTCTCTTTGGGTTGTACTTGGAATGGGCTCTTGCAGTTATCAGCTATTCTGGCCAGCCTGCACTCCACTGCTTTCCCTGCCTGTTGTGTTTCCCCTACTTACTCCATGTATCCATCTAGGCAGACCACAGTTCTTTTCAGCTCAACTCCAGCGCCCTGCACAGTTAAGATTATGTCCACACAGCACATGCCCCATGCATGATTCCAAGTCTCCCTCAGGCAACCCAACACCACAGGGTGGTCAACCAGGCAGGTCAGTGCCCCCTCTGTGCTGCTCGCTACACTGGGAGTGCAGGCATGGTCTGCTCCATCAAGCCACCTCCTTCCTCTTATGCATGGGGATTCCCCAGGGGTCTCGCCCTTCCCTGCACGGTGCAGCTGTGCACCCTGCTGTGGGATGGACAGATGTGCAAACACAATGGTGCCATGCCTTGGGGTTGCCACTCAGTTTCTATCTACCCAACAATTGGTATCTTCCACTCCAAATCCAGGCCCAGCCCAAGCTCTCACCATCTTCTACCATCGTTCCTCTGCATCCCAGGATGCAGGGAGCCAACTTCTCTCTGTGGGGCTCATCCTTGGATTTGGCCCCATTTCTCAAGACTGAACTGTAGAATCACATGGTTCCATTTCTACCCCGCATAGTTCCCATCCCTTTCTGCCTGGAAGAATTTGTCCTGTTCCCTCGCTCCCATTATGAGGCTGTTGGCTCTTTGGTGGTGGGGTCCAATACAGCCCCCAGGGACTCGGGATGCGGGGACCTGCACAAGCCCTTGATAGGAGCTGCTGAGTAGCAGGACAATGGTCCCCACTGGGTTACATCCCATGGGAAGGAATGAACCCTTCCTGTCCCTGGAAGTAGACATGCCGACCTCCATGCACACATTTCCATTCTGAGCTGCTCCCGGACCCTTTACCTACCCCATTCCCTGCCTGCACATCTGAGTGACACCAAAATCTGCAGCCAGAAAGATGACACTTACCTGCTGCTCACCCTGTTGGGACTGCGGGACAGACACTGGGGACTGGTCCTTGTCCCCCAGGGGATGGGCAGCCCCTCTCTCCCTGCTCCGTTGCCACGCACCGTATTTCCTGCAGCACCCACCACCACCCAGCAGCAACCCCTCTGGGTACATGGCATCAAATGGCATGTACTGGGGATGAGGAAATGCCATGCTGGAGACACCCACTTCCCACATGAGGGTGGCATACAAGGAAAACGGGTGCCTAGACAAGGGGATGGGAGATTAATTCAGTGGTGCCCTGGGAAAGCCAGAGTGGAGGTGCTGGGATCCTGTTGAGCCCAGTGCTGCCCAAAGCAGAAACATCCCAGCGCTCTGTGCCAGCAGGGCTCTGTCCCCACAGTGGGAACCCGTTGTCCCAGGGGTTGCCATGTCTTCTGGAATCATCCCCATGCCCTCCCCAGAAGCAGCAGGAGCATCCCCAGGGCTGGATCACAGCAGGTGCCCAGCGCTGGGTGTCCCCACCACCTCCCCTTTGGTGGCACGGAGCAATCCCTTTGTCAGAGCCAGGGCTGCAGGGAGTGGATTCAGAGAGGCAGGAGGGACTGTGGGGCCACGGAGCGCAGCCTTACCTTGGGGGATCCACTGCGGTGGTGGGAGGTCGGCACTGGAATGAGCACGAACCGGCTCGGAAAGCCCCGGCACCGTGGGAGCTGTACGGGATATGGGGACAGGTGGGATGCAGTGGGATGGGATGGGTGGATGGATGGGATGCGGTAGGATGGGATGGATGGATGGGTGGGTGAGAGGATGGATGGATGGATGGATGGATGGATGGATGGATGGATGGATGGATGGGTGGTCGGGGGGCTGCAGGTTCCCTCACTCCCAGGTGCGCAGACAATAGCCAGGGCTCCTGTTGCAGCTGCAGACTGTCTCTTTAAACCCCTCACCAGCCCACAGGTGGCCCTGTCACCACCGTGGTCATCCATGACGTCATCGGGAGGGAGGGATGGAGAGGAGGAGGAAGGGGGGGAGAAGCGCGATCCCCCTCCACAGCAAAAGTCCCCGAGCGCCCATGGCAACAGATTGCAAATGTCACTGCGCATCAGCGGGAGGGGCCGTCACCCACGGGTGGCACAGCGGGGACGGGGCTGTCACCCACGGGTGGCACAGGGCGCTCCTCGTCCGGGGTCCTGCATGGGCTCTGCGTTGTATAGAGGTCGGGAGAGTTTGGGAAGGTGCTGAGAGCGGCGATCAGGCGCTGGGGGCAGGCTGGGGGGACTGATGGCAGGCGGTGGTCCCAGTAGCATCCCGCTAGCCTGGCCCTGTGTGACTCTGGAAAGGGTCGAAACAGGAGCCGGGGGGTTCTGATGCGGACTTCTCTGTCCCATTTTATAAAAATGGGTGCCTGAACGCCCATGCAAATCTGTAAACATTAATGAATTCTCTCCCCTGGCCCGGGGCAGAATTAAATATTAAGTTAGATCTTATTTTTTTCTTGGAAAAAATGAGTGAAATTGGAGTCAGAATCCTCACCTCAGAGCTGTCCCCTTGGCTGCATCCTCACCCCAACTGTGTCCCCACCTGAGACTTCTCCTTGGGGCACACAGGATGCTTTGCTCAAGGGAAAGCCCCACAGAGGCTGCTTCTTTCTGAGGGCAAGGAAAACACCACTGGAGATTTCTCCTGGAAGAACCCCCCCATATCCAATCCACAGAGAAACACCTCCAGAAGGGAGTTCCCTGTAGTTCCCAAAGCACCCAGCACCTCTCTTGCCGCGTGTGGGTGCCTGCAGCAGTGCACATTTGGAAAGAGCACCCTACAAGAGGGCAAAGCCTCGAGCAGGGCTACTTGCACCAACTTTGCTCTCTGCAAAGCCTAGGGAAGGTTTGTTTTTCTCTCCTCCATCAGCACAGCATAGATGGGGCCACAAGAGGGGACAGCAACGTCTGGAGAGGGTTTTCTTTCCCTGCGAGTGTCCATATGAGGAGATGGCTGGGGCTGTGGGCTGAGGCAGGGTGGGAGCAGAGCATCCTTCCTTTCCTTCTTCAGTCCTCAGCCTCACTCATCCTGCATCACTTGGTGCACAACAGCAGAAGGATCCTTGCTTCAGTAAACCACCCAATACATCCCAAATGAGCTCTGCTTGTTGTTTTCTAAGCCCCATGCTAGCTGTAGGGATGGATGGGAAATATCTGTGCTGCACTGGGGTTCATCCCAAGGGAGCTGTGATGAGGACATAGGCACGTTTGAGGTTTTGGGGTGGAACAGGACGGTTTGCATAGGGGTGCTGATGCTGACAGCCATAAAGGGCAGATGATGTGCAGCTGGGAGCAGAACTGCATTGTTTGTGCCTGAGATCCATTGGGCTGTGCTGGGAATGACACTATCACCTTCCCCAGCAGCAAATGGGACAACTCAGAGCAAAGCCTCATGCGTACCAATAGTTCTATCTGCAACACTCACCTGCTTTCTCTGGGTGCTTTCCACCAAAGCCTCCTCCAGCCCGCCTTGAAACCATCTGCAGCTGGAAAATGGACAAAATCCTTCCTAAAAGCAGAGCAACCAGCCCAATTCCAGCCAACTCCATCCCATCTGAACCCACTGAACGTCTCACCAAGCTCCCTACTCCCAGCCCTCCCTCGCTGAGATTTCTTAAATCCCATCAACAACCCCCTGCAGATGAATGAAAACAGAACTGATCCCACAAAGGTCTGCTGCCCTGAGCCCCAACACAGGCTGGCCACAGGGATGGAGTTATTAGCTCAGGAGCGCTGATTGCTGCTGTGTTAATGGCTCTTTTGTCCGTTGAACTGCCTGTCTGTGTGTGTGCTGGGTGGTTATTTTCCTGCCAGCTGCCGTGTGGTTGGATGCTCTTTGGTATTTAGTTTTATCCTATTAAGGTGGATCCCAATTAATTACATAGAGGAGAGGGAAACAAAGAGAAGAGCTGAGGCCATTCATTTTCAGCTTGTCATCGTGTCTCCTGCTGTGAAAAACACTGGGAAATGGGCACAGACCCCCAGACCCATAGAGTGGGTTCTTTCCTCATGTTCCCATAGAGGATGCTGCTCCTCTGCTTCGCAGGGTGCGTCCTTCCCACACACATGTATAGGAGCACAAGGTGGGTGCTGGGGTTATATAGGGGTTCCCAGGGCTATAAAGTTCCCCACTGTCCTGGCACCTAACTGCCACCCCCATTGGGGTGATGTCCCCAGAGCTTTGTGGGGATAGCAGTGTCATGGAGTGCTTTATGGGGCTGAGGCCCTTCACCCAGGGCTGGCTGCAGCACAGTGACCAGCGTGGGTGAGCATGTCCCCAGCTCCGTGGCACTAATGCCACCACCTGGATGCTGCTGTCCCCATCCCTTGGCTGTCAGAGGGGCTTCTGGAGAGGCAGGAATGGTCCTGTCTGCCCTACACACCTGGGGAGCTTATGAGACAGAGGCGCGCCCCAAAAACATACAGAGCATCCCTAGGGATGCTGTGCAGGGGGTGTCTGGATGAGAATACTGGGGTGGGTGCAGAGGATGATGGTGTGGATGTAGGACCGGTGCAGGCTTTCAGGGGGTGTAGATTGGGTGCAGTTTTATAGGTGCAGAGTTATGCAGGTGCAGGTTTGTGGGTGTGCAGGCTGATAGGAGCACAGGATGGATATAGGCTGATAGGGCCACAGGGATGTAGTTGTGAAGGAGTGGAGGGTAAGTGCACGTTTATGGGGGTGCATGATTATAGGTTTCAGGACAGGTGCAGGGCTATAGTGATGCTTGTTTATAGGTGTGCAGGGTTATAAAGATGCATGTTTTTGGGGTGCAGAGCTATAGGGATGCAGCACGTGTGCAGGCTTCTAGTGGTGAGGGGCTACGGGGCTATAGGAGTGCAGGGTTATGGGGATGCAGGATGGATGCATATTTATAGGGGTGCGGGTTTATAGCTATGCATATTTACGATCTGCAAGATTACAAGGGGTTAAGGATGGGTGGAGTACTATAGGGGTACGGATTTATGAGGGTTCAGGATTTTGGCGTTGCGGGGCTATAGGGGAGCAGGGCACGTATCAGGCCGTTCCCGCTGTGCGCGGACGCGTCCCGCAGCGCTCCTCCGTTCGCCAGGAGGCGCTCTCTCGCTCGCTCTGTGGACACTCTGGTGCGTCCCGCCTCGCTGCTCTGCCGACCGGAAGCGGAAGTGGACGGTGAGGGTGACGCCTTCTCGCCGCCGCCGTCGCGGTGCGTCGTTGTGTGGTGGCGGAAAGATGGCAGCGGCCATAGAGTAAGCGGCGGCGGCGGGCCCAGCGCCGGGCCCCGGTGGTGAGCGCGGCCTGCACCCTTCGTGGGCTCCGCTACACCGTGGCCTCCACGCCCGGAGGGCTCCGAGCTCCTCCCTGCCCCGAGGGCATGGTCCTGAGCCCCGGTTTCCTGCGGGGCAGAGGGAGAGCGGCACCCGTCCCCAGCCTCCAGTCAGGCTTCTCCTTGAGGCTGCTGTCCCCTCGGTGGCCCACAGGCTGCCCCATCCCCCCTGCCTTCATGCCCACCTCCCCGGGCTCCCTCTGTCCCTGCTGCAGGCCGCCCCTGGCTGCTCTCGCCCCCTTTCCGATGTTTGAGTGATACCTTCATTCCTGTGGCACTCACCACGTACGTGTGCTGCCTTCCTCAGCTCGATCCTTTCCTGTGCCCTGCTCTGCAGCAGGCACTCTGCAGATCCCATCGCCTTGCTGGGTTCCCTCTGGGTACCTCCCACTGTCCCTGTTATGTCCCTCTCTCCCAGTCTCTCTCCCTCTCCCGAAGGTTTTTCAGCTGTCCCCCACCCTCAGGGTTTTGCCCAGAACTCCATTTCTGTAAGCAGCCTTGGTGAGATCCCACAGTGAGTGTGTGCGCCGTCTGCAGCAGGGTGAAGATGAAGTAGTGCTCTGACCATGGACCATGATGCCCCCACAATCAAGCCCCGCCGCATCCAGAACCAGAATGTCATCCACCGCCTGGAGCGCCGTCGGATCAGCTCTGGCAAGGCCGGCACCCACTGGCACCAGGTCCGCGTCTTCCACCAGAATGTCTTCCCCAACTTCACCGTGGTCAATGTGGAGAAGCCGCCCTGCTTCTTGCGCAAGTTCTCCCCCGATGGGCGCTACTTCATCGCCTTCTCCTCCGACCAGACATCCCTGGAGATCTACGAGTATCAGGGCTGTCAGGCAGCAGAGGACCTCCTGCAAGGCTACGAGGGGGAGATCCTGGCTAATGGCAATGACCAAAGATCTGTCAACATCCGAGGGCGGCTCTTTGAGCGCTTTTTTGTCCTGCTCCATATCACCAATGTGGCCTCTAATGGGGAGCACCTGAACCGTGAGTGCAGCTTGTTCACTGATGACTGTCGGTACGTCATCGTTGGCTCTGCTGCTTACCTGCCTGAGGAGCCGCATCCGCCCTTCTTTGAGGTTTATCGCAACAGTGAGTCGGTGACCCCCAACCCTCGCTCCCCTCTGGAAGATTATTCCTTGCATATCATTGACCTCCACACGGGCAGGCTCTGTGACACGAGGACTTTCAAGTGTGACAAAGTCATCCTCTCTCATAACCAGGGGCTGTACCTCTATAAGAACATCTTGGCCATTCTCTCTGTGCAGCAGCAGACGATTCACGTCTTTCAGGTGACACCCGAGGGGACTTTCATCGATGTGCGGACAATTGGTCGCTTCTGCTATGAGGATGATCTCCTGACGCTGTCTGCGGTGTATCCCGAGGTGCAACGGGACTCTCAGACAGGGATGGCAAACCCTTACAAAGAGCCCTTCATAAACTCTTTGAAGCACAGGCTGCTGGTGTACCTGTGGAGGAGGGCAGAGCAGGACGGCAGTGCGATAGCAAAGAGGAGGTTCTTCCAGTATTTTGATCAGCTGAGGCAGCTCCGCATGTGGAAGATGCAGCTTTTGGATGAGAACCATCTGTTTATCAAATACACTAGTGAAGATGTGGTCACACTGCGGGTAACAGATCCTTCACAGGTACTGCCTGCCACCTGGGGCTCCCTGTTGCTTGGTGGCAAGTGTTCTCAAGCAGGTTTGGTGCTGTTCGGAGCAGCATTTCCTAGCTGAGCCTGTGAATGTTCACTGGATGTTCTGTTTAGGACCCCATTACTTCATTCTTGTGTGAACATTTGACACCCTTGGTATTGAATAATTTCAGTATCTTTTGCTCTCGTGATTTCGCCACATTCTTCACAACTGAAAATGAGACCGAAAAGATCTTAGGCATTATTGAGTCCCCTTTCCTCAGGGATTGTTCCCTGTGCTCACAAGTGCTTCACAGTGCTCTTTTCCTCCTAAATCCCCAGCTGATTTTTTTAGCTGCTATTTCATATAATACACTTGCATTGTAGAGGTAGTCTCTCCCTTTTCTTCTGCATCTTCAAGCATGTTTTTCAAATATAATATCTCCATTTTTCACCAGTAGAATTACCTTTTCTATTCTGCCTACGTACTTACTCTTTCAAGCTTCTGTCAGAGCTAGTATTTATGATCTCTCCAAATTGAAGTAGCAGCTCTTAAATCTAGCTAATGTGCCAATTGCTTTTCCTTTCTGTTTAGTACTAAAGAAGTCAAATTAGAGTAAATGTAGCTCAGACAGTGCTGGGTCCCTCCAGGCTTCACCATCCCACGTGTTGATCATCTCTTTTCACCACTGTTACTGTTACTCAGTTTTTGAGCTAAGTGAAGCTGAGCAAGATATTTTTCACATTAACCTACTTTAGTCCTTTAATCTGTGCTTTTTTTGTTGGTTTGTTTGTTTTGGAAGTATTTGGCAAAAACAATTAATAAATCTCTACTGCTGAAGTTTGTCAGGTAGTTCCCTAGATGCTTGTTTATCCTTGCCATCTCATCCTTCCTGTCTTGCTGGTTCCAATACTTAGACCCTAAGTGAAACAGGTAATAATTCTTTGTGACCATGACTTCCCTTTTATATTTGTTTTGGGGTCATTATTTTGGGAGAGAATAAATTAGACTAAAACTGTTTTACCCACTGGTGTAAAATGGAGTGGCTGTCTCAGGAACATGAAAGCTTTGTAGACGTGGCTTGCAGTGTGTAGATTGTTGCCTGTATCCAGAGTCGTGTTCTTGATCCAAGCCTCAGGCCACCCCACTGTGAATGTTTGTGGGAGTGTCAGCTCTGCTCCCTGCTGTGGTTACCAAGGTTTTTGTGCCTGCTTTGCTCTAACCCGTTCTTGACTTGCTTCACCTGAAGGTTACTTTTAGATGCAAATTGTGGCTTGTTTGCGCTGTTCCTCAGGTGATGTATTTTCTGCTGAAGAGAAGCATCTTATTTTTTCTTTCTTTCAGCAGAAAATTCCAGATGTGGAGCAGCCTGACCTGCCTGAGTTTAGTCTTGGTGTTAGGGCTTCGTGAAGAACACTTTGGTCACAGAATACCTAAAGCTCCCATTTTTTCTTTCATCTATCAGGACAGGACATGGGTTTGGTCTGATTTCAGGATCTTTTCTTCCTCTGCTAAGGAGGCTGAGGAAGTTCCTGTTTACACTTGCTGTGTATGTATAGTTTGGGGGTTGTTGTTCTTGGCTTGTGTTCCAGCTTTGCCAGCTTTGCTGTATGCTTTTTGTAACAGCTTCTGCTGTCTGTGCCGTGCTTGTGCACGGCACACAGGTGCTGCTAAAATGTAGGAAGAAAGATTTCTCTGGTTGAGGGCATCCTGTGTTAACCTGGCAAAGGAACTTCTTTATTCAAGGTTGGAGGAGATTCCCTGCAGTTTTAAAAGATGTAAATAGTTTCTACTTCTGCTGTCTCCTCTCTGCTTCAAAGCTGTATTTCAGAAGGGCTTTCCTTTCCTCAGGCAGTCATTCAGTGAGTAACCTCATTCAGTGTGCTTCATTTTAACGTGTGGGGGTCAGGTTGTACGATCACAGTTTATTTTGGGGCTGTAAAACAAATAAACCTTGTGATATTTACAGATGGATGAGGTGGGCAGAGTGCCTACCGTCATCGCTGAGCACTGATTGGGAGCGGGATGTGAAGCATTCAGAAATGGTGTTTATGAGCAGAAGACTTACCCAGATATGTGCATATGCCCAGTGAATTAGTTATATTTGAAGCAGGGACAGGCTTTGTGGTGCTGGAAATCTAGCCTTGTCCTATTTAATAAAAGCTATCTTTGGTGACCAAGAACTGCCCCTTCCTGGTGAGATGGGAACGTCCTTTCCCTTTGTTGCAGTTGTGCTGGTACAAATGCAGTGTTTTTCCCCACCTCTGGCGTTGATGCTGTGAAGCACTGACATTGCCAATGTACAATACGGTGCCTGAGCCTTCTTGCACGAGAAGGATGGCTTTAAAAAGAAGTTGTTAATGTCTTTCAGATTTTCATTTCTGTGTCAGCAGGGTATCAGAAGGGTCCAACTTTTTGTAGGCAGTGGTGTAGTGCACAGCACTCTGAATAGGCTCATCCCTGTGTGGTGGAAATATTAAGAAGGGAAAGCAAATAATTTCTCTGCATAAAGGAAAGGATGATTTGTTGCCAGCTAGCACTGGGTTTAAAATCATTTTGTCAGCAGGAATGAAAATTAAATTTGGCACTTCAGAAAGCATTTTGGATTTGGTGGAGGGCAGAGAGGAAGAGAAAACAGAAATATTGACATCCAGTTTGAGAAGAAAAATTGGAAGCCCATTCAGCTGTGTTTTTTTTTTCCCATAAATAATGACATCACAGTAAACAGGTGGATAATTTGGTGCCTGTTGAGGTATTTGAATAGCAGGATGGATTAGTATGAAGATGTGGGATTCTCCTGCTTTGCAAAGACATTTGGGTAGGATCTGTGGCATCACATGGGGAGGAGGAAGGGCCAGTTTCCCTATGCGTGCTCTCTGGCTAACCCTCACCTCTGCCTCTCTCCCCAGCCTTCATTCTTCGTCGTGTACAACATGGTGAGCACGGAGGTTATAGCTGTGTTTGAGAATACATCTGATGAGCTGCTGGAGCTGTTTGAGAACTTCTGTGACCTCTTCAGGAACGCGACTTTGCACAGTGAGGCAGTTCAGTTCCCCTGCTCGGCTTCCAGCAACAACTTTGCCAGGCAGATCCAGCGCCGGTGAGCCATTCGGAGCATGCTTTATACCATATAGACGCGCTCAGCCCCGTCAGCTGAAGGCTAGTATCAAATAACCACCCTGAGATAAACAGCTCCTGTAGTTGCTGAGTGATGCGAGGGTCTGGCTGGGACCTGCTTCATCTTGCAGCCTCGTGCACCTGGTCTTGTATTGCACAGTATCTGTCTTTGTACAGCAAGGAAGAAGGCAGTGGTGCAATTCAGAGCTTAGCAGAGAAAGGAATTTTAAGGGCAAGATGTTGCTGGCTCTCTTTGAGCAGTACCTCCTCTGGAGATCATTAAAACAGTACTGCCTAGTAGCTTTGGGCCCCCTAGATAAGATTTATCAAGATGCTACATCATCTAATTGGATGTATTTTGCCAAGTGGCCTTCTTTAAATTTAGTGTGCAACAAGCTGTGTTCTGTAACAGCAGTAAACAGCTTGTGGTTCTCATTGAACTCTGCTTAGAGAAAGGAAATGGATCTGCCTAGACTTGTGAAAACTGAGCAAAATATCAAAATATCCAGGGTTTCCAGAATGTTCTTTAACAGTCAAATGTGGTTTTAATGAGGCAGAGTGTGTTATGTCTCTTGGAATGTATTTTTATGTGACTCAGGGTGTTTTGTTCTTCTAGTGACTTGTTTGACATCATCCAAAGTACTTGGCAGTCACTTATGGCAGTGAAGCTTCGGCTGATTTCAGTTTCACATCCCATAAGTAAGAGGAAGTTGACTGTAGCATCGTGGAGCTCTGTCACAAAATCCCTATTGCTTAGGGGAAAGAAAGAACGAGGGAGCTCACTGCAGGCACTGCAGTGCTGAAATGTAGAAGAGAATCTGTTCATTCATTCGACTGTAAGAAGCTGTAACAGGAATGTTTAACTTAAGTAGCAAAGTGTAATAATGCTGTATACACAGCAAGCTGGCTTTTGGCTGAGTGTTTCTGTTCAAAGGGAAACAGTTTACTGACTGTGGTGTGTGACATTCATGCAGCTGATCTGTCTGTTCTTGCTTGTGGAAAGCTCAAATTTTATTTGGAAAGAGAAATCCAACCTGCATTCGTCTCTTTACCTGGAAAAGCTTTGAGCTCACTGTGGTTTTGAAGAGCTTTCTGCTTCTCTTCAAGGTTCTTCCTCATCTCAGGTTTCTCCCTCTACGTGTTTAAAACACAATGGCTAGAGAGGGAGGGGGGATTCTAGAGTCAACCTTAAGGGCTCAACTGTTGCTGTGAAACACACTGGCTTTTGCTTATGCTGTTTACAGGCTTTGTGGCAAAACTTGGATTGACTGATAAGCTGTTAATCCACCTCTCCCTGTTTCTGATCCTGTTCATTTCCTGTACTGTGGTGCAGCTGAGGCCAGACCTTGTGGATAGGCACGGTCTTGTCCTTCTATCAGTTCGGACTTTCAGAGCAGAAACAGTAACGATGAGGGAGGATAAAAAGGTCACCAGAGCTGGTTGATGTTTGAATCACTATGATACATCTTTGGAAGTGAGCTGTTCTAGTTCTTACACTGCTGCTGTTTTTCTTTCTCTATCAATTTTCCTCCTTTTTTTTTTTTTTTTTTTTTTTAAATCTGTGCCGTTCACCTGTGGCCTTTGTGAGTAAAACCTGCTTCTTTGTTTGCTTCAGGTTCAAAGACACTATTGTGAATGCCAAGTATGGAGGACACACAGAGGCCGTGCGGAGGCTGCTGGGCCAGCTTCCAATCAGTGCCCAGTCATACAGTGGCAGCCCATACCTCGACCTCTCCCTTTTCAGCTATGATGACAAGTGGGTGTCTGTCATGGAGCGGCCTAAGACCTGCGGTGATCACCCTATAAGGTATGAAACAGATCAAGAAGCTGTATGTGAGGAGAGAGCATGAGGGTAACTCTAAATCACCTCTGCCACGTGTTGTGAAATTTGCAGAAAGAACAGACCTCGGTGCCTTCCTCTCTTGACATCCTTTGGCCAGAGGGTTTATTTCAGTAGTTGCACAAAGCTTGGCCAATCTCCTTTTGATAAGTCTCACTTTGTATGTGTGGGAGAGCCCTTCAGGTTTTATCACTGAGCTGCCTCATGGAAGATTTGGGTCATAAAGAGTGAGCCTTTTCCATATGAATGCTCTTGTTTCTCCTTCCAGAGTAGTTCAGCCCTCCTGTGTGGGCTGCAGATACATTTCCAGGTGCTTGCTATCCTTCCTGTGCTGGAAGGATTCTTTCTGAGCACATAAGGTTAGCTGGTGAGGATCATCTGGTTTGTCCTGTGAATAAAATATTGTCTGGGTTAGGTGTTATTCATAAAGCTTCTGGTATTGATTTTGCTATTTTCAGACTTCCTTTTTTCCCCTATTTACGTTTCTCACCCTGGGAGCCATACTCCTCTTCATGTCCCTCTTCCATCTATGATCTATAGGAAATTTGTTTCTGTAGTAGAAGTTTAGCCAGGTGTAAAAGCCATTCTGTGCCTCTTATGTCTGAGTCTTCAATGCTGGAAGCAGGAAGAACTCCAAGCCTGAGAATAAGGAGGTTTGCAGTGCTTCTTTCAGAAACACTGTGACTGTTTATTTCTTTTTGTTGGCTGCAGCTATGGTGGCAGGCAGTAGTGGTTAAAAATTCAGCATCTCCTGCCTGAAAGGCTCAAATCAAAGGGGCTGAGTTCTCCAGGCAGAATAGTCATTCCACTTACACTGTTGCAAAAGGGAAATGAACCTATGCTCGAAAAACAAAGAGAGCCTTCAATGTCTAAGTGCTTTGTTTAGCAACTGGACGCATGTTGGGGGCTCCGACAGCCTCACGAGTCCATTCTGGATGGTTTCCCAAATTTATTTTCATCAGTGCATTCTCAAAACCTGATTTCATGTCTCCCCTGGCCCTGACTCAGGTGCTAGGAATCTTCTGATTATTCCTGTGCTCTCAATTCCCAAATTATGTATATTTAATTGATTTTTTTTTTCCTCCTGCTCGTATGATTTGGTTTAATCTCCAGCTCCCATGCTATCTGCAGAGAAAAACCTGCCCTTTCCCCCCTTGTCATGCTTGACGTTGGGAAAACTTGCAGGGCAGTGGTTGTCTGCCAGCATCAACCTGCGTAGGGCTCCTGCAGACAAAAGGGAGCAAAACCTCAGTCATTTGCTGTGGTTACCGTCTTTGTAGTAAACAAAGCAAAGTGCCACCTTTCCTCCCTCCCTTGAGCAACGCGGCATTTCAGAGCCAGAGCTTTTAAAGCTCAAAGCTGTGCAGTCAATTAGGACTTGAATAGGGCCTGGGAGCAGTGGGGCTCCTGGTTTTTGGGAAGTAAGCAGAAGACCAGGCGCTAACCTTAACCATTCAGTAGCTGCAGTAGCACTGCTGTGTTTCTCACATACGAAACAAAGGGATTAATAAAATAATACTGCTGCTCGTTGTGGTTGGAAAGCTTGGAAATGAGGGGCGACAGGATTTGTAATGTAAGTTCTCTGACTGGCTGAAGTGCAGAGACCTCTATCAGCATAACGGGTGTTATGGACTGCATGTATTTCCTGGCATGACATCTGTGAGATGAAGGCCTCTGTCTGTTTTACTCACCAGTTTCAGCACCTCTGTGCCTGGTGCTCTTTTGACCCGTACTGCTTTTCTGTGTTCAGCCCTCATTTCTGCTACTTGAGAGGCCAGGGGTGGTTTGCTGTCAGGCGGGAAGGACTTCAGGTCCCCATCACTGCCATTTTCCAATATCTTTTCAGGAGGCTTGAAGAAAAATTCAGTGGGTGAAATGATGGGACTTGTGAGGAAGAGGCTCTAACACAGCTTTACCTATAGCAGGGGGTCTCTAAAATCCATCTAGATGGCTAATAAGGAGCCATTTAACCAAAAAATTGGTCTGCAGATAAATCTTCCATTTTCATATGGTTTGAAAAGGCTGGTCTTGCTGTTTCTGTTGACATACAATTTTATATTGCAGTGCCTAATTTATCCCCAGAGTGAGAGCCCATGGAAATGGCCTCTGATTGCAGAGCACTTTTAAAAATAGATTTAAAAATACCAAACTGAACACATCTTTGAGATTACAGGGAGCTTCATCTTGAGTAGTAAATTATTGTGAATTGGGGAGAGAGAGGAGCAGACCAGGGACTATGCTTTATTTAAAGAATGACCCTCCACATACCCAGCCTTGTGTAGGAGGGAGAGGGCTTTTAAAAAGCCAAATACCAAGATTGTGACTCTCTTGCTGAGTTCTTGTGTGCAATTTTCAGGCAGAGCTTGCTGGCACTTTGATTCAGAGGAAGAGAGAGGAGAGTGGCCCTCCAGGAAGAACATGAGGATCTCAATAGGCTGTGCTGTTAAAATGTGGAGTATGTCTGCTCCTGAAACAGCATTGCCTGTATCTGTCATCACCTGTTCTTTCCAGGCTGAGAGCTGAGTGCATTGTATTGCTTGCCAGAAGTGGGGGGAAATGTGCTCTAGTATTAAAAGCATTCTCTGTGTTAAAACCAGAGGAAAAATGCAAAATGTCCACATCCGCAAAGCGATGGTGGAAAAGAAAAAAGCTGGAAAACAAAATGGCAATTCTGTTCCCGAAACTGAAAGGGCAGAGAAAATGCTCTAAGGAGATGAGTTCTTCAAGTAAGAACTTGAGTCCTGTCAGCTAGAGCTCAGCTGCCTTGTGAAGGTACCAAATCCCCCAAGTCTTCACTGGGAAGAGGGGGGTCATCACAGAGGGTCCCCTGTTCCCAGAGCAGCGCAGAATAATGTCTAAGGTGGGCTTATGTCTGCTACAGAAAGTGAGCCTGTCCTCTAGTATGCAGAGAAGGCTCAAGAAATAAATGGCTTTCTAGACTTTGGCTTTTCACTGCATTGCCTCATCCCCTTGGCAGTGCGGAAGCTGTGTTCCAGAGCTCGTCTATTTGGAGACACAAATGTGCTTCCTCAGACCAACAGCCAGATTTATGGGCAACAGCAGAAAAACACATTCATTTGCCTTTACCTCTGCCCTTGCTGTGATTGTCTGTTGAATGCTGTCCACCAGACACTTCCTGCTCAAACTGTCTTGTTGGTGATTTTTGTTGCTGTGTTTGGAAATCTGTCAGGATTTGCAAAGCCTTCTTTGAAGTGTAAGGTGGAATGTGGCACTCTGGAGCAGAGCTGGATCCAGGTGTTCACCTTCCTCTGCTGAACAGCGATGTAACTAAGCACAAGCAGAGCAGCATATTGACAGCAACAGGAGAGGGGAAGGTTGGCCTTATAGCTGGAATGAAGGCCATTGCTAAGGGAGGCAAGATCCATTATGTACAGTATATCTGCCATACGCATCAAGCAGAGCAGCTTGCATTAAGAGAATATAGAGAGTAAGCACACGTGGGGTCTGACCTGAACTTACTTTGCTATTGTAAAGTCAGCTAAGTCCACCAAAATGAAGACAGAGTTTTCTGACTGATAGGAAAAAATATCTTTTTCTAGACAGTGAAAAACTAGCTGCCCCGGGAGGGACTCTCCTCTGTTGCCAAGAGCCAGACACCCAGCTGAGGATCTCCTGCCACTGAGGGAGTACCAGAAACTGAACAAGGCACTTGTCTCTGTTTGTGAAGAGTCCAGATGGCAAAGTCAATAGTCAGGAACAGCCATAATTGACTTTCTCTTCCTTTCAGATTTTACGCTCGTGATTCTGGCCTCCTGAAGTTTGAAATCCAGGCGGGACTCCTGGGGCGACCCATCAATCACACAGTGCGACGCCTGGTTGCGTTCACCTTCCACCCCTTCGAGCCCTTTGCCATCTCAGTGCAGCGCACGAACGCGGAGTACGTGGTAAACTTCCACATGAGGCATAGCTGCACGTAGGGCAACGCATGGGCAGGGCAGCTCTTCTCCTCGGGTCTGGGCCTCTGCCACAGACAGACCAAAGCCAGGCACTCACACCTTCTAGGAAACCAAACCATCGATCGCGTCAAGAGATCTGACCTGGGAGCTCCCACCTGCCGGCATCTCGCAGTGCCCTTGGCTGTGAAAAGGTGATCTGTTGAAGTCAGACCTGCAAATTTTTCTTCTCACTCTTTTCATACCGCAGCGGTTCCCACTGCATTAAGCACTGCTGTTGTTCCCTATTCCTGTTGATGAACAAAGTGTAGCTGAGATTTGTTTCTCAATTTCCCAGAGGCATGTCTGTTTTCTCTCCTGTTGTATTTAGGATGGCAACCACGGAGCTTTGCAACATATTTGTGGAGTGCTCCCTTCTGCACTGATGCTTTCCTACTTTGTCAAGACAAACAGCCTGTCCTAGAGGGAATGGATAGAAGCCATGGGGAGAGCTTAGAAATACAGCTACCTGTATTTGTATCACCAGTATTACTAGGGAAATGAAATCCTGTTCTCATCCACACCATCTTCTTGCACGATTTTAATATGCAAGAGGTTAGGCAAAGCTGTGAGAAATCACTGGAACTGAGAGAGATGAGGTGTATTCCTGACTCTTATGCAAGTAATTTAATCTTTGTGCCTTAGTATCCATAAAGCCCCTAAGTGGAAGGTGGTAAGTTAGTACCAGAAAGCCTGTGCAGCTGATTGTGTCTCTGGCGCATGAAAAAGAGGGCAAGAAGGAAGAAGGGTGGGTGGGAGGGAGGAGTGTGGAGAATAACAGCAGCTCCTTGCTCTTGTTGAAGGGTTTCTTTCTGCAGTGTGGATGAATCCCTTATGGGTATCTGCAGGCTTGCTGCTGAACTGAAGGGAGTCCCAGCTGCTGGCACCCTTCTGTGTGCTGGAGAATGACCGTGGAGAACTAATAGCATTTGGGTTTTTCCAGGAAGGAGGGAGGAGACCTGAATTACTGTGCATTGCTGCAGGTTTGCAGTTAAGAGATGAGTTTGTTGACTTACGTTGCTTACCTATCCCTGTTTGATACACTGTTCTCTGTGAGAACCCTTTTGGGTATTCCCAGGCTTCAAAGCACAACTGGCTGGTGCGTCATGTTCAGTGTGGTGCTGAGTGGATCACTGCAGTGTCTATGCTGCCTAGAAATTAAATTCCTAGGGTGTAATACTGCTTGTCCTGTTAGTTGGTGTGGCCTGCCCTTCTCTGTTAAAAATTGAATCTTTGGTTATAGAGCAGTGTTTGTGTTTTGCTGCACACAGACTTATGACTGTGTGCTATCAAGCATTGCAGACATCCCATGTGAGGTACACAGGGGACATTAGAAAATTGATGCTTGGACATGGGAGACACCTACTTTAAATGACCCTGCTGGTGTCATCTTTGGACCAAAATGGGCTGTGGGTGATGTGTTGTGGCCACATGCCTGTGAAGAAGAGTACTGATGTCATACATTCATTTTGCATAGTAAAGCATAAGAAAATAACTTTGTGTGTTGATGGTGCCTGCATAAAGCATGAATGCGGGACCTTGCAGGGGAAGGTGACTGAGGGTGTTCAAGTCAGCCTTTACTCTCTGTTCTATGGTATTTATTTTCCTGGCCTTGCTAAACTTAATTCTAGGACAAGACACTGTATTTCACTGCTTTTTTTCTGGTTTATGCACTGTGGGTTTCTCAGGTCTGTCAGGAATGACTTCAAGGTTGGAAGACTGCTAATAGAGGGAGCATCAGGCCATGTGTGCTTTAGGTCTGGGTTCCTCTCCATCTAATAACACTATTTGTCAAGGTTTTAGGTTTTATCCTGTGATCTGTTGCTCAAATATTCAATTAAAGCTCCAAGTGGAGAATCATTTGCACATAGTAGATCATGGAATTACCTTCTTCCTGCACCACTCTCACATTTGTTCAAGCTTTCAGTATGAGACTATTTTTGTTTTCGTTTCTCCAAAGCTCTCAGCAGCTCCATCCAAGACTGGCTTTATGCCTTGATGTCAGCCTGGGAGGTCAGTACTTATTAAAATAGCTCTCAGGTCTCCATTTAAATGTTGTTTGTTTTTTTGGGGGTAGCAAAAATATAAACCATTTTAGCATTTCTGCAGTAGGGGCTTTTGCCAGATTCAGGCTGTCCTATGTGAAGCAGAGAGCATGGCGTGGGTTATTGGACTCGGGGCTGAGAGACCAGAGGTCTGCTCTTATTCTGCTATTAAATTGTTTTGTGACTGAGGGCAAATCTATTCCTGTTCCATCCGGTGTTTTCTTCTCTGTAAATGAGGCCAAAAACATATTTTCAGCTTTTGTAAAACACTTTGAGATTCATGGATAAAAAGTGCTGGGTAAGTGCTAAGTATTTTCTTATTATGTTTGCAGACAAACTGATTGATTCATTCTGGGTACTAATTGCCTTTGAGTAGCATTGCAGATCCTCTGGTCGTGGCTGCTGCATTTTATATCTACAACAGAGTTAATTTTATTACAGAAATGCATTGGAAGTAAAAAGTCTCTCATGCTTGAAATTTTGATTCTTTATTCAAAAAAAAAAAAAGTGTGTGGTGGGGAGGGTGGGAGGAAAGGGCAAATATTTTCTACCTGATATTTTTCCTAGGCTAGGATGAAGATTTGTTAGCAGCGCAACACAAAAATGGAATAAACAGAATTTGCTTTAAGAGCCTGATTTATTGTTTTTGTTTTCTCAGAACCTTAGTGGTGCAGCCAGGAGTCCCATTGTTAGGAAGAGATGGTAGGGATGTGTGTTGGGCTGTGCAGGCTTATTACACGCTAGTTTCTTGCCTCTTCCCGACATCTGGAGTAGCAGTGTGTGCTTCCTACCAAGGGCATTTCTGTACTTGCTGCAGATTTCTCATTCTTCTCTCCAGAAGAATGCTGGGGGAGGAATACTTGGCCTTCAGATATGTTTTCCTCTTTTAATTTTATTGCTAGTCCGTCTTGTACTCAGACTGTTCCTTTAGTCCATTTTATAGCACTTGCCTAACCTTGTGGCCATTTTCTGCTCATGCTCCGTGATCAGGAGATAAAGGTCGAGCAGTACAGCTTGTTTGGCAGAAGTCATCACCTACCCACTGCTTTTTAGGGCACTTGCATTTTCCAGCTGCGTGCAGCTTCAGACATGAAATATCTTTTGTACAACATCATGGGGCTGAACATTTGCGAATGGTTCTGGACTGGGACCCCCCTGTAATCCACTGCTGCTTTGTGACCACCCAGCATTGTGCCTGTATGAATTGTGTTCCTATATGCATCTGCAATCTTGGCCCTGAAAGCTTCTCTGAACCTTCCTCTATTTTGGTGTGTGCAGTTTTCTGTTGCTTTCCTTTGGAGACCTTGAGCATGTCAGAAAGCTCTTGAGCCTGCGGCTCTCCAGAAAGGTACTGAGTGACAAGGAGATGCTGAGATGCTTGACTTCAATACCATGTTTGTTAGGTAGTGGAATCCCATCTTTATTACTTCTTGTGCTGCCTTTTCTTTAAAAAAGAGCTATGTAATATTTCTTATATAAACTGCATTAGTCAGCAAGCCACAGAAATCCCAATAGAATCAAATCTATGTATCCATTAATGGCATGTTCCTGCTTAAGCACTCCTTTTGGTTAACCCTCCAGCCTTGAACGGCTGTCCCTGATATAGCTCCCTGATTTTCTCTGTGTACTTACCTTTTGCTCACGTGCTGGTGTCTGTTATGCTTCCTTTGTTCTCTTTTGACCCAGCTGGAAGAACCAGATTTCTGAAGCTTTATTTCAGATTTCTGGTGCTTTCACATGGTTTTATTGTTTTTCATGTTTCTGTCCTCTGATTGCTTTTCTGCCAGCTCTTCCCATAGAATCTCTCAAGACTTTGGAAATGGAGATAATGTCTGGAAGGTAATGGAACGTGTGGCCCTCCCAACAGCTTTCCTCCTGGTGGGAACCTTTGTTAGAAAAGTCAGTCTTGTGGGCAAGCAATGGGACGGGATTTTGTGGGTTTGCTTTTGTGTTGCTTTCATAGTTGTTAGTGTCCCTGAATGCTTGTACTTTCCTGTCTTGTTAGTGTGGTCGTAAAAGCTTTTCTGGCCAAATACTTCCTTACGAGGAGGGAATGGTGAAAGGGCTTTTATATACCTTTTTTTTTTTTTTTTTTTTGTAGCCCCTGGGCTGCGGGGGCTGAGCTGTGCAGTCAGTCATTGTAGCAGTAACAGCCTGGCACTGCCTGCCAACTAGGCTGACTGCTCATCAGGCAGCAGCAGCCCCTGCTAGAGCTGTGTTCTGGCTAAGGTCTGATTAGCCTGTGTTTCTTTCAGGGTAGCAACCAGGGAAGAGCTGTACTTATTGTGTAAGGAAATTAATTCTTAGAAAAATACTGATGTGGAAAAACCCTGAATTGCACATTCTTTTCCTGATGTTATGACATAAAAATACCACACCGGCTTTAGACTAGCGTTCTGGAAATGAGTAACTTGTGGGTGACTACTGTGTTCCTACAAGAGAGAACTGAAAAGGATAAGTTAGAACAGGGGCAGAGTGTCCCTGGTCCCAACCATTTAGGACTGGGCTGCAACATCTAGGTAGCGTTTTGCAAAGATACCACGTGCACCTGTGTGTTTGAGGGCAGTTTTAGAGGAGATGGGACTATTTTAGAGCAGAGTGGCAGGGAGGTGCTCACTAGATGCCCTCAGCAGGGAGAGGAGCCTGCTGGGGAAACTTTCTGAAAGGAGCAGCAGCGCAGTGTTTGGCTGCCATGGTAGAAAATCCTACAAGAACTGCAGTGAGGCAATGAAAATTCAGGGTGACGCTGCAAAGCTCCCTGCATTTTCTGCATTCTACTTTGTTCAAGTTCAAACTGGTGTCTTTTGAAGAGTTCACCTTCTGTAGATGACAGAATTTAGCCTTTTTAAAGCTGTCCTTAGCTTTCTTTTTTTCCGTGCCAAGCATGGACCAAAGCAGCCCTGGCTCTGACCAAAGGACTCCCTGAACCCCAGCTCTGGGCAGTGCTTCATCCCTCCCTGTAAACTATTCATGAGTCGGTTCTCGTCTGCCATGACCTCCATCCATCCCAGCATGTTGCAACATAGGGAGGCAGAGCACTATGAGGACACGTTGGATGCTCCAGGACCCTGCCTCCATCAACCAAGTGGACGTTTCTTGTATTTGGTCTGGTGTGGATGCACTGGAGGTGACGGCACTGAGCACAGGGCCTGTAGGACAGCCCAGCCCTAGGGATGGTGGCACTATGGCTGTGTCAGCAACTGTGGGGCGTGAAGGGAAAGCACTCCATGGGAAGCCCCATCGAAGGCACTGTGATGTGATTTAGGGCGTTAAGAAGAGCAGTGGGCCCGTGTGTCCAGCCAGAGCCTTCTCGCTGGCCATTTGATAGCTCCTCAAAGGCGCAAAATGGCGTGGGGCCGGATTAGATGTACCCTCCGCCCTCAGCCTGCACCGGGAGATATGGCGCTCGCCCTCCGCCTCCGGCCCTCTGGCACCAGCGCTGTCGCCATGGCAACGGGGAGAAGCAGCCATCCGCATGGAAACGGCCTTGCTGCAACATGCAGCGAGTCGGGGGGAGAACGGTTCAAGTGGCAAGTTTGGAGGGGAGAGGGGCCGTGCTGTGTGGTCCTGGCCCAAATCGCAGTGCTGTGCGGCAATGGAGATCTCTCCTTAAGCTCTGGAACTGCCCCAGCACGTGCCCTCGCCTTAAGGATGGGTTTTGTTGCTGCTGCCCTATTTTTTTGTGTGTGTGTCTAG